AAAAAAAAATGTGCAAAATGATGTAAAAATAAACTTTTGTAATAATTAAAAAAAAATTAGATTCTTAAAACTTATTGTGAATTATTGAAGAAAGAGTCAGCTATTAGTCTATAGTTCTTAAATGAAGCATTCTAACATATTAAATTTACAAGCATAATTTGAAAGTGCTAAGGGAATTTAATAAGTTATAAAAGCCCTCTTAAAAGAGGTTGTAAAACTTTTTTAAGACTAGGCCAGGATCATCGCTGGTTGCTAGAACTTTTCTGGCAACTATACTCAATCCTGGTTGCATATATATATAATTTTTTAAACCATTTTAGAGGAAGTTACCAAATATTGCAGCATGGATTTCCTAAAACAAGGACATTATGATACATAACCACAGTAAAATCACCAAAATCAGGAAATGAACACTGATGTTATTGTCCAATTCACAGACCTTATTTAAAATTCACCCATTGTCCCGCTAATCAAAAGATTAAATTACTTCTTTCCCCACCCATAAATTTTTCTAAACCATAAGGTTTAGAAAACTGCGGCTTGCTGGGCTTTTCAGTTTCAAGTCCTTAACTGTTAGAAACACATATTTAAATATGTGATGGAATTTGCTTTAAAGTAACTTTTTTTGAGAAGATGCTTGAAAACACAACAATAGTGATAACTGTTGAGGAAAGTAATGGGTCCAAGATAACTTTCTGCTGTTTTTTTTTTTTATGTTTGAAATTTACCGGCATAAAACAAAATACAAACATAATAATAACTAACATCTGCTCCACGAATTTCATCGCTAGAAAATAATAACCAAAAAGCTGCATTAACTGTTAGTTCATGTATGCTCTCACATTAGCTAACATAATGCTCTCAACAAACCTCTGACGAAGATCTTGACTTAGCCTCCGCGTTACAGATTCGGAAACCCAGGCTCAGCAGACCACTGGATGTGCGGAAACCGCAGAGACCAGGGACCCGTTTTCCCTGCGGTCTCCAGCGCCTCAGTACCTAGGTCGGTAGGTACCGCCTTCCTTCCACTTGGACCAATAGAATTTCCTAGACGGGTAACAGACGGCTGCTCCAACCATTTGCTTTTTGGCACCGGGTTCCCCGCGCGGGGGTTGGACGAATCGGTACCTGGGGGCGGGATTCGCCGGCTCCCGCATCGGGTCCGGGATCCGCGCGTCCGGGGCGGAGCCAGGAGTTCCCGGGTAGGGCAGGTCACTGCGTGCCCTTGGGCGGAGAGGGCAGGCGACTCCGGCCGAAGAGGAGGACGCAGAATGAGGGTCCAGCGGGTGAGGGCCCCCACTGACCAGGCCGGGGTTTCCACCCGGAAGTCCTCGCCCCAATACGAGATTCTCTCCCCGGAAACATCCCGGGAGCGGGGGCGTGGAACGTGAGCCTCCTGGGGTTCAGGACGCCCTCCTTAACAGCCCGGGGCTCCTGAGCCCAGAGCCGCGCCTCGCTTTTTCCAGGGCTCCCTTAGCACTCAGAACGTAGGCACTGGGAACTTTACACCCCATGTCCTCCCCCTGGGGCCCCCTAGGAATTCCCGATCCAGCCCCGACATTCCCGGGACCGGGGCTGGCCCCGTTAGTCCGGAAAACCCTCCCTTAGAGCCCGGCGGACGTGGCCGTGCCGAGCAGGAGGCTCGCTTCCGGGCCCGCTTCTCCTCCAGGCAGCCTGCTAACCTCCAAGCCAGACCCGCCCGGCGCGGGGCCCCTTCTGGGTCTTCGGTGACAGGACCCCCTGCCCGACCCGGGCTGCCCCAGCATTGCCTTCGAGACGCCCCGGAGGGGCAGGGCCGCCGACGTCAGAGCCTCGGAGAGCCCGACCCCCTCTCCAAACACGCACACCTCAGCCGAACCCACTTCGGGACTCCCCTCTAGTGCCCCCCACTCTCTAACCTCCCTCTCTCCTCAGGTCTCCCAGGCACTGTTTCGTGCCTTCAGCTCGACCTCCCGCACCCACATGGCGAACAGAGTGGCGGAGAAACAGAAGCTCTTCCAGGTGGGCGGGGCTGGGGGCGCCCAGGTAGCTGGGCGGAGGCGGGGAATGCCCTCTACCTAGCAGCCCGCGCGCCTTTTTTTTTTTTTTTCATTTCTCATCTGAGGTTCCCCACACCTAGGCGGACAATGACCTTCCAGTGCACTTGAAGGGCGGGGGAGCCGACAACATCTTGTACCGGCTGACGATGGCTCTGGTTACTGGGGGTGAGTATCGGGCGGGAATGAAAGGGGAGCGAAACTGGAGCTGTTCCAGGCTCAGTTTTAGGGAGACCACTGAGTGACAGAGAACTAAGTGGAATCTGAGCTGGGGTCTAGGAGGGAGTTGGGGTTTGGGCCAGCCAGGTTTGGGGAACACACTGGAGGCCTGGCTACCATATAGTAAAGGAGTACCTTGGGCTTGGGCTCCTGTCCTAAGATGGGGGGCTGGGCCAGGATGGGCCTGGGACCCAGGCAGGAGTTGGAGAAAACTCTCCCAACCTGGCCTGGTTCAAGGAGCAAGGAGTCCTCACCTGAAGTGCACTTTGGGACGGGAGCCGGAGCCTGCACTGGGCTGGAACCTAGGCTGGTGACTGGGAGTGTGTACAAGGGCTTAAAAGCTCAAGGTGGGGACCAGGGCGAATGTGAGGGTCTCATTCTGTATTCCCCACATTCC